AGAATTTTTGCATCTATATTCATCAGAGATATTGGTCTGTAATTTTCTTTTTTTGTGACATCTTTTCCTGGTTTTGGTATCAGCGTTATGCTGGCTTCATAGAATGAATTGGGAAGTGTTGCTTCCTCTGCTATGCTCTGAAATAGCTTGAGTAGTACTGGTGTAAGCTCTTCTCTGAATGTTTTGTAGAATTCTCCAGTGAAGCCATCTGGGGCAGGGCTTTTTTTTTGTTGGGAGTTTTTTGTATGACCTTTTCAGTCTCTTCTTTTATTATGGGTCTGTTCAGATTTTCAGCGTGACTTTATATTAGTTTGGGTATGTAACGTGTTTCTAGAAATTTATCCATTTTCTCCAGGTTTTCAAATTTGTTGGAGTATGGTTTTTCATAATACTGTGTTATAATGCTTTTTATTTCAGTTGGGTCAGTTGTAATGTCCCCCATTTCATTTCTTTTTTGGGGTATTTGTATCCTCTCTTGTTTTTCTTTTGTCAATCTGGCCAGTGGTTTGTCGATTTTGTTGATTCTTTTAAAGAACCAACTTTTGGTTTTGTTGATTCTTTCTATTGTTTTTCTGTTCTCTATTTCATTTATTTCTGCTCTGCTCTTTATTATTTCCTTTCTTCTAGTGTCTGTGGGCTTTTTTGCTGCTCTCTTTCTGTTTGTTTGAGTTGTGTAGTTAATGTTTTGATTTTGTCCGTTTCTTCTTTTTTGATGTCTTCATCTATTGCTATAAATTGTCCTCTGAGGACTGCCTTTGCTGTGTCCCCGAGGTTTTGGTATGATGTGTTTTCATTCTTGTTTGATTCTAGGAATTTTTTGATTCCATCTCTGATTTCTTCTATTACACACTGATTTGTAAGCAGGGTGTTATTCAGTTTCCATGTAATTGATTTTCTTTCCTAGCTCTTCCTGTTGTTAATTTCTTCCTTGATAGTATTGTGATCAGAGAAGATACTTTGTATTATCTCAGTGTTTTGGATTTTGTTGAAGGTTGCTCTGTGGCCTAAGATGTGGTTTCTATTCTGGAGAATGTTCCCTGTGCATTGGAAAAGAATGTGTAGTTTGCAGCTGTTGAATGGAGTGTTCTTTATTTGTCTATGAGATCCAGTTGGCTGATTCTGCCCTTTAGGCCCTCTGTATCTTTGTTGAGTTTCTTTCTAGACGTTCTGTCCTTTATCGAGAGTGGTGTGTTGAAGTCTCCTACTATTATTGTGGAACTGTCAGTTTCTCTTTTCAGTGCTGTTAGAGTTTAAGTGTTTTGGAGCCCTGTCATTGGGTGCATTAATGTTTATTATGGTTATGTCTTCACGCTGGATTGTCCCTTTAATCATGATTTAGTGCCCTTTGTCT